ATATATATATATATATATATATATATATATATATATATATATATATATATATGCATTGTATTATTTATATATATATATGCATTGTAAGTATTGCTCTAAATTATAAACTTTCCACCGCTATATTGTGAAGATAGTCAGTGATTTTGAAGTTTGTGTACATTAGTACACTTGTTACTAATTAGTCTGTATATTAGTTTGTATATTAGTTTTTGTATATTAATCTTTAACATAATTTAATATAATTTAGTATTTAATATCTCATAGTAGTTTTTTTTACTAAAATCTGGTATAATATAAATTTCATATAGTTTAGAAGATATAAAAAATGGAAATTAAAAACAATATATTGGCCTCAAGAAATATCTATAAGAAGTGTCAACTTTAGTTATAGGTATCTGATAAGAAAAGAATTATGCACAATAAAAATCGTTACCTTCAGCGTAAAAGCATAAAAATAACGTGAGAAGTTCGAACAATTTGCGAGATTGCTTTAAAACGTCTCAATAAGATGAATTTCAATTTGTTATATTCCAGTTGTTCTTATTGGTAGCCGCCGTCTGCGAGGCGAAAAGAATAACGAGAGGAGTGGATTATGTTCATTTTCCGAATTTTCGGATGATTTACCACGGTCATGGTGCTACCAGTTATCAAAATGTGCAGGTTGATAATCACGATACTATACCAGTACCTACGAATTATGTAGACCAAGCGGAGATTCATGACCTGGAACACGCATATCATCACACAGCTATCGTTCCGATCGAGGAGTCTCATAATGAAATAGATCACGTCGATGTAGCCGATGAAGGTAAATCGAAAGACAGATACACAGAAAGAATAATTTAGTTGAATCAAATAAACGCTTCTTTGGAATAGTCCAAATGAATTTTTTGATTTATCAAACAAAATTTTGTTTGAAGCGACAAAAATATTTATTTGCGGCTTAGTTCCAAAGAAATATTTTTTTTTGTGTCAACCAAATAATTTGTTTGGACTATTCTAAAGAAAAATTTATTTGATCAATAAATCGTTCTCTCTGTGTAAGTTGTACACAATAATTCGAATTAGCATATAAAATATTAATTTAATGCATAAAAAATATATCATTATAAATTGCACATTTTTCTCTCATGTTGTAACTGCATTAAACATACTTAAAAGCAAAATAGAGCAAATGGAAGAATAAGTTTTTAATAATTATATGAATTAAGCGTGCTAACAGAAAGCAGAGAATGATTTAACGTGTTTATTTTAGTGCCTTATGAGGAGTATAGTGTCGCTGACATTGAGCACAAGTCCGACGTACTCGAGCATTATCTCAATCACTACGACGATGAACAAAATTACGAATTTTATCTACAAAAGTAGTTTAGAAAGCATTATACTCAGTGGAGAATCTTTTCTGATATTTCCATTGGTTGATATATACTAAAATTAAGCCATAGCAATATGAAAGTCTCAGGTATTATACAGATTTACTGTGTGTTGCCAAAATAATCGGTTAAAAATTAATCAAAGAATGTCTCCACATCGATACCGATTGTTGCGAAAATAATGGTCCACAAGCCAGCATAAAAGAAAATAGTTGCAAGCGTGATTTGCAATCTTTTTATTTTGTCTTGCTCTCTTATATCCAATATAGATATATATGTATAGGATGATATATAATAATTTATGTAAATAACATTATTATAATGAAAACAACAACGTGGTAATCTTGTGCTAGGCTCTCGTTTAATCTTTATTTACAACCCTATGTGATCACATACGCACGTACGCACGCATACATACACACACACAACACACACATACAAACGCACGCACGTACGCACGCACGCACACACGCATGCACACACGCACACACGCGCGCGCACACGCGCTTACATTCGTGCGAGAGCGTCGCCCTGCCAAAGGGTGCTCCTTACGATCATGGCTGAAAATTGTACGATCTCGAGATTCTAACTCTCTAATACTCTAATTATAATCAGCAGTCACGAGAATTATCGGTTAAGTGATCCGATCGTGAGAGCATCTTTCAACTTAAAGTATGTATGGTCTAAGAACCGTCACTAAAACAGCGAAAAGTTTCCTCTCGGAATTAGGCGTCGACTCACGAACACATACAACACTTTCACACATACATACTCATACACATTTTCCTCTTCGATAGACTTCGACAATAGTGTTAACAATCGAAAAATATGTATTTCGACGTTTATCGGGCGGTGAATCTCTCCCACCGTTTGATCAATCCCGATTGTTATATATATATATATATATATATATATATATATATATATATATATATTATGTACGAATATATACCTAATACTTGACTAGAGATCACTTTTGTTAATTTTATTGACTCCCTCAATAACCTAGGTACTCGGACAGTATGGAGACACGAGATGTTTGTTTATATAAAAAAATATTCGACTGAATGAATTAGAAACGTTAGTGTGGTTTTGCTCGTTTGTCTCTGCTTCTCACAACGCGCGACATTTGTCGGCAGATACGAGAACGATAGCTAACGAAGCTTGATCCCAATTCCAAGTATAATTAACGATAATAGTAAATTGTCTGAAAACAGTCCTCGTTTTCGTAGCGCATTTCTACTATGGAGGAGAATCGCGGAGAAATTCGGCTGACACTCGTTACACGTAGAATTCAGTCTTAGGTTCCAGTTCCATTTCTTCGTCCTTGTACATGTCCACAATCTGTAAAAGTCATTTGTATAATTAAACCAATCAACTCGGAAAGTAAATTTGTTATTGTACTGAAGTAAATTAATATTAACAAATGCTTGCTTGAATTGAATTCTTACATTGACTAATTAGCTTTTATCTTATTATTAAAGAGATTGATATGCAACAATAAAAAATTACTTCAGTTTAATATGATTGCATTGTAATATCATATGCATGTTTAATTTATCTTTAAAATAAATCTTTACATATAAATATCATAAATTATAGGAAAATAAAATGAAATAATACTTTAAAAAACAGTTTATTAAGAAAATATTATATATAAAGTATAATTGTTGTATAAAGAAGAAAGAGAAATATAATAAATAAGTTTTATAAATTTAATGAAAATCATGAAGTTTTTACTCTCTATTTTCTATAAAGCAAGAAATATATACTGTAAATTAAATTAGATCTCCCAATAAAATTTGACATAATATTGTAGGTTTATTGATTAATACATTTGGGATCCTCAAAGTTTACCGTTAAAATAAAATTTGGGGACGTTTAAATTTTTTAAAATCTTTCCATAATCGACTTAACAGTAACAATGTAAGTATTATGCCAGATATCAGTCTTGAAATATAAAGGAGCTTTTAATGATTAATATTAGAACGCCAGTTTTACATATATTATTATAATCTAAGTTAATATGTAAGCGCAGAACAACTGTCCATACAAATTCCACAAAACTATACTATCGGGAAGAATGTTAGCCTAGCGAGAGTCTGCTGCCTTACCGCGTTCATATCTTTCTGCAGCTCCTCCAACTGCTTCTCGTGGATCACCTTGAGTTTCTCCTTCTCTCTATTCTGAATCATTTGAGCGACTTTACGCTCCTCCATGAACTTCTTCGTGTTGTTCTGCTGCTTTTCTCTAAGCCTGCCCTCTTTAATCCCACGTGTTTTCAGAGTCTTATCATTCATCACTTCCCTCATGCTTTCCACCGATAATCTTGCTTGCCGTGCGTTCATATCCTTGATCTCGCGCTCGTGTCGCGCGGTCAGTTGCTTCTGCTGTGCCAACTGCGCGGTTCCGCACAATTTGCATAGTTGTGTCCGTCGCTCTTCCAGATGTCCACGAACCAGATCGCGTTCTTCTCGTCGTTGCCTGTCGGCTAGACGAGACCATTGAGTCGTCTGCTCGGTAACGGCGCGACGAACGATAGTGTCTCTTGAAATTTCCGCTTTGCTGCAACAATTTTATCAGAAAAAATTTATATTTATTGGTTTTACCATTATCAATAGTTTTGTATCAGTTAGTCTTCAAAAGTTCTATATAAAAAACATCAATTTTGAGATATTTAATGCTTAGATTTAAATATTTAATGATTAAATAAACACTTTTTGCATAAATATAATAGAGAATTCAAATCACAAACACAAATTGTACAGAGATTAACTACTAACTTTTTGCCTTTAATAATCTTCTCTATAGCGACGCAATGTTGCTTTTGGATTGTAAGTTTTTCTTTGTGGTGCCTTTTTCTTAACGATTCCAATTCTTTTTGTTGCTTCCGTAATACTTTTTGGTAACCTTTTTCTTGCCTCAGAGTATCCAAAGTAATTGGATCGAACTTCATTTCCTCTGCAGAAGTAAAATGTTATAAGTACGAGTCCGGTGCTAAATTGGCAATTTCCGCATTTTGCAATTTACCTCTCGGTTTAGTCGCTTCGTGATGCGCAACCGCGTCCACGTTGTTCTTGCTGTCGCTCTCTTCGATTCCCAGGCCGCGCATTTTGTTCTGCGACATACTTTCGGTTTTTCTAAATGCTCGCGGTGCCGTTAAGGCGTCCATAAATTCTGAAAAAAATTTGAATAGTTTTGAACATAACACGCAATTAATTTTATGCAGTTAACATGTTATTTAAGATTAATTTATAACGTATATTGACTAAATTAATCCTTTTATATCTTTATATCTAAATTAAGTTTAATATTAAAGATTTATAAAATTAACTTTGTTAAGTTAAAAGTTAATTATGCAAAGCAATATATTTTTTGTATAATTAACTCTTTAATCATAAATCTAACTTGTGTGAAAAAAATAGTTTTTTATAAGAAAATGATGTTTCGAGCTAAGAATTCCATAAAGGAAAAAGCACTGGTGCTCAGAGAGACGAAATAAATTTCTATTGGCAATATTTTTAATTTTTTTTATTTCACGTTGCAAGTAGCATCCGCAATGACTTTAATATTTTGATGAAAGAAAATTATTTTAATTTGTGTACAAAAATTAATAAGTCAAAACTAATGCGTTTTAAAATAACGAGTTTAAATTAAAAGTTTTTAACATTCCAACTTTTTAACTTAACTGATAATTGATTAACTAGTTACTACCAAATCTCTACTTATACTTTAAATATATAAGTATATGTATAAATTGAGAATACAAAAGAGAATGAAACCAAGCATATTCAAGACATTTTGATAAGAAAAAAGTAAGTTTAATTTAAATCATATATGTATTCCTCGAGGTATCCAAACGTAATATATCTAAATAAAAAGAATATCATATATTTATTGAATTATTTATAATCATGCGATCAAATATAACTGAGATATGCGACATTGATCTTACCTTGGAAACCGTCCGGCACGTAGATCTTGATGTCAATGTTACAAAACAACATAGGCAGAGACATGGGAAAATTGGCCTCGGTTCGCAATGCAATGTGTCGATATCCGGCCTGCAAGCCGTCCAAGGGAACAAGTCTTTGTCCAAGCAGTTTGCCGTTTGACTCATCGTATACAGCAAATCTCAAACAAGCCAAATCTGGTAGAACGACTTTCCTAAAGAGGAAAGGCTCTTCATTATAAACAGGGTTTAATCCGTTGGCGGGAACCACTCTGGTGCGAAATTCCTTTCGTATCGTGTCGGTTGGTAGACCGTACATTTCGACTTCCACATAAGTTCCAACTTTCTTGTCAGATAAGAATTGGCCTGCTATTACCTGTTAAAACACATTAAGATAAATGTATTAATAAATGAACTATAAAAGCAAATTTTTCGCAAATAAATTTTTTAAACTTTTAAAAATTTAATTCAGACAATACTTAATCCTTTTCCCGTATGATTATATATCTTGGCACATACAGTACAAATTATACAGTCTGTAAAGGTCTGTTTGGCCGTGAAAATTGTTGCTAATTTTGCAGAGAAGAGAACGCAATTAATTCGAAATTATTATAATAATCAGAAGTAAATATTTGAATAAAATCATAACGTATAAATGGGTATTTCTTAAAACAGACTTATTTTAAACACGTTGCATTGTTGTAATAGCATCGCAAAGTATATATTAGATGTCTGCATTATGTTCAGCATTTTTGTCCATCTGGGAACTTTGAATTACTATAACTTTGTTGAAAATCAATATTTTTGGACATATATTTTTTCGGCAAAATATGAAAATCTTAATTACAAGATACGCAAAAAAATTAAAATTTGCAAACAGATTAGCGCTATTTTGAAATTTTCCTGTAACTTTTACGAAAATTGGTGAGCGATCAAATATTTGCTCGGATCTCACAGATACAACATTGTACGCGGAGAGTCAATTGAATATCGAGAAATAAAATATATAAAAGTTGCAATAATAAATATCTCTAAATAATAAATATATCTAAATGATAAATATCTTGCACGCAATATAATTTATTTCTTAAAAACAGATGAAAAGTTTTAGGATATGTTCTCAAG